GGACTCTCTTGGCCGGGGGCTCTTCCAACTGGAGGCTCAGACCCCTATTGAGGGTCTTCAGGGCCTCGTTTGGGGTGGTGGTGGTGGTGATGGTGGGGACGAGTCTGCTGGTGCTCCAGACGATGATGGCATTGGTTTAGTGGAAACATAGTGCCATTTATAATAATGGCTCAGAATGGCAGAAACAGATTTGAATGGTCTTGAGCAAGCATTCTCACCTCCCAAAGGACAAGTGAGAATCAAACCTTTTTGTTTCGGATGATATGACTTGAGATGTGACCAATAGATTTCAACAGTAATACTGAGATTACATATAGGACAAAACATGATAGATCATGCTGAAACAAACATTAAATAAATTAGAGGTGATACTGGATTAAGTTCCGTGAGTAAGTCGCCTCCTGAGGCAGCGAATAAAACCGTGAGGGTTGTGAATGGCCAGCCAAGCTTGATGAGACAATTAGCCTTGAGGACTGCAAAGTTTAGGCGCCTTGTGAGACGGCTCACTCCCGAAACAAAATCCAGCACGGACAGTTAGTGCAACTACAACCCCCCGTCGAAAAACCAACAACAAACAGAATTATTTTATCTAACCGTGCCATATAAAACAAAAGCTAAGAGGGAGGGGAATTGACCATTCTAACCTCAACTAACTACCAGACAGGACGACGACTTCGTGCATTTGACATTAACAGGCACAACCCAGCTGTAACAACCGAACTGTAAACATGACATAACCGAACAATCATTCATACTTACAAACAATAGTCCTTTAGATAAACACCTCGCTAGGTAAAATAGGCACTTAGGCTAGCTACTCGGCCGCGAAGAAACCACCAAAAGATTCACAGGGATGCCTGCACAGAAGAAAACAACGCAATAAAAACTGTCAGCCTGCCAAATACTCAAAAGTGGAAGGTTGTTTTTGAAATAATTAACGAATGGTAGTACAGCAAAATGTTGCATCGAAGTCAAGCATTCCTGTTCCACGAATCTCACCGTCTGGTGTGCGCGGTTGCCGGCCGAACAAAGCTTCGTCGCGCGTGCAGCGCCACCTAGCGGCCCAAACCGAAAACCGGACAAAAAGTTTCCCGTTTTTGACACCCGCGCGCTGGTAGAGAAAACGGGATGGGGTATCGCCGTTTTGCGGAGCGGAACTGAACCGATTTTGTTTAACACCGTTTTTCGGTGCGATTCCTTTTTCGGACGCTGTTTTCGGAGTC